AAAGAGGAGGCGGTGGCTGCTTTTGCGCCCTTTGCTGTCCCCTCCACCGAGGGGCCAGACGCTGTGCTTTGGGGCGCGCTGGGTGAACCTTCAACTCTTCCAGGCTCTGGGCAGTGTCTCCAAGAGAAGGGCTGGCAGAAGTAGAAAGCAAACAAATCGAGAAGAGAAATAGGTAAGAGGAAACTCTTGACAGGGAGAATTGCTTAAAAGTGGGCTCTGTTTTATTTTGAACAACATTCATTCATTTGATAAAGACACAATCAACTTCTGTGTATGGGCGATGTGCTACCAACAGTGGGGATACAGTGGTGAGAAAATAGAGGGGACCCTGTCCTCCTGACACGCTCCCAGGTTAGTGCCTGAACGCAGTGTGAGTCGTACCGTGACCTGACCCCTGTTCGGTGTCATGCTTGTTACCGCCCATCTCGTTTTGCTTCACTGATAATGAGCTGGAGTCACGTCTGTGTGTTGTTGGTTGCTGAAGGCCATAGTCACGTAAAACGCGAGAAGATCCTCCTGTGCCACAGGATTAAGTGTAACGCAGGCCAGAGCGTGTTTCTGTGTAATGTGCCGAAGGCCCGGTGCATCTTTCTCCTGACATCTCAGAGCAGCGCTGTCCAGTAGAAATACAATGTGAGCCACAGACGAAATTTAAAAATTTCTAGTGGCCATATTAAAAGAAGAGTAAAAAGAAATATGTGAAATTAACATTAATATATATTTAAAATATTACTTCGACCTGAAATGAATATTCGCGCATGGAGAGTTTATGTTCTTCCGTTGCGGTCAGCCTTTGCGATCAGTGGCCATGGAGTCTTCGAGGTCCTTACAGAGCTTCTCAGTTTGAACTGGTCACAGCTCAGGGGTTCAGCAGCTACATGTGGCTCGTGTCTGCTGTCCTGGGCAGCGGCTGTGGAGTCTACAGTCCAAGTGCTATCCCTGGTCCCACACCGAAGCACAGCCTCAGAGGAGTCCCCTGATCATGGGCCTGGCGGCAGGGCACAGCGAGGCTTTCAAGGGAGGAGGGACTAGGTTCCAGGTGGAGGGTAAGCTTCAGTGTAAGAAAAACTGTCCTGCACTTTGCAGGACACCGATCAGTGGCTTTATCCTTTTGAAAAATAAAAGCCAGTGAGCTGAATGTGGGGATAAATGTCAGATGGCGTTAGACCACACGGATAATTTAAAAACGTTGAGTAGGCCATTATGTTTCCTGTGCACCAATATAACTATAGAAAAATTAACATAGCTTTTATACTTTTTAACTCCATAGTAAATTTTTCCTTTGTTCCAGTTCTAGACACGCTGCCCAGAGAGAAGCCCAGGAAAGCTCAGGATGGTTCCCTGAGCTCCACCTCCTGACTGGCCGAGGGAAACGAGCCATCCTGAGCATCCCTCTCAGCCCCTGGAGTGGGCTGGGTTCCTGTCTCCACACAGGTGTCCTGGGGATCTAAGGGGCTCCCGCCTCACCCCAGCTTTCACAGGAGGCCTGCTCCTGGCTAAATTAAGCCCCGCCAGGCCTATTTGTGGACCCAGAGGCTCCAGCCAAGTGAGAGAGACTCGTCCAGCTAAGGAATGTTCTGGGAGGGGAGAGAAGCACTGAGATCATTGGTATTTGTGTGTACCGTTTCTCACTTGCCAGATCAACAGCGGCTTCGGGGACTCAACCAAGATTTTGGTAGAGTGACCGTGGGGAAGGAATAGCTGGAGACACACTGGGAACAGTTCCAGCGGAGAGCAGTGTGGACACCGAGGCAGTGTGGACACGGCGACCCCTGAGCTCAGAGTCTAACTAACACAAGCCCAGGACACCTCATAATTCTCCCCGTATTTTGTAACAGACTTTACTTTTAGAGAAGTTTTAGGTTCACAGAAAAATTGAGCTGAAGGTACAGAGATTTTCCATATACCTCCTGCCACCCCCCCCACACACAGCCTCCCCTCCATCACAATCCAAAGACATCTCATTTAAAAAAAAAATTCTTACTGATTTTTTTTTTTTTTT